GGCCTAATGAATGATGAGAATTACGTCCGCTACCTGGAGACGTATCCGGATGATGAGGAGCCGATTGTGCCACCACTTATGCCAGCCTTCTGGGACTCGTTCTGTCCATCTCCACCTGGACCATCAGGGGGATCCTTCGGGAGCGGCTCTTCCTCGCCTGGCGAGTGATCGTCTTGGCCGGAGTCGGCCTCATATTGCCGAGGGGTCTTATTTAGGAGCATTTTCATTTTCCTTATTGTAATAAGCTCCTTACTGCTTGTACCCTTCTTCTTAATAAAAATGCTATTTTTCGCCCTGTGTTATATTTCGTGTTTTGTCGCGTACCCATCCGGACGACTGGTCAAGGAGTCGGTCACATCATCAGGCCCTTTTCAGTCTGACACCTGCAAGATTCCCCGTATCTCGGGCGAATCCGATCTTCTCTGCGTGACGTGCGAATCTTGCTCTTCCCGGGCGGATTTGATGGAACTAATCTCTGACAGAGATTCGCGCCATCCGTCTAATCCGGCTCAGTTATGTCAGTCATTATCTCTTCCGTGGTTATCAACTAGATATTCGCTTTCACTGAGCTATATAGAGACCCTTCACAGTTGATGCAAATCGCAACACTCTTCATTTTGCGAAAGCACGACGCTATGAGTTACAGAGATGGTGATCGCCGCTGGTCCATTCGCAACAAGGAGCATGCTCGACTGGAGCAGTTGAGGCAGAAGAGGCTGGCTAATGGAGGTCGTTTGGTGGGCGACTCGGCTTCAGACCCCATTGTGGTGCCCCTAGACATGCTGGACCTGATGTGTAGGGAGCCTATCGATGTGGAGATGGAACCTGTGGTGGAGGATCCAGAACCAGTGGTGGAAGAGAAGTGGGAGGCTCCTCCCCTCTTTGGTGTCGCCATGTCGCCGAGCGCTCTGGAGAGGCCCTTGCAAATGATCGATGACGGGAAGCCAGCCGTGTATCTGGACGAAATGCCGGAGCCTGAGCCGAGTCCTCTACCTTTCCGCTCTCAGTACTTCCTGGAAGGCCCTCCGACTGCTCGTCAGTCGACAGAGAAAGAAGTCAAGCCTTGACCTGTTTTTCTCTTGTAACTTGCATCGGCCGAGTTCTGGGCCTTGTAATCTCCGTACTTATTAAATAAACTGTGTGCTTTTGTGTCCGACTCTACCTTTTCTTATATTTTGTCGACTGACCTCTGGTTTGCGGGACTGATTCCTAGTCTTGCTACGGCGAGACCCTCTTGGCGAGGGAGTCGCCGAATCTGATTGCCGACCTCGCGACCGGAGTCTCTTCGTGAACTTGACTTATATCATCCGATGGGCCGAGTTCTACCGGGTCATTCTAGAAGTTTCCAGCTCGTACCCTGTGGGCCCAGAGGCCATGGCCTACTATGGGCTTCCGGCTTAGCAGGCCGGGTCATTGACGTCCGATCCTAGCCTAGGGCAGACGCGTCGTTTGCAGGCTAACCCTAGGCCTGAACCGTCGCCCCGCCTTTTGAGGCATTAAATGCGGCGTCCCTTCACATCCCGTCACCTCCACTTCCTCCAACGAGAAGGTGGCACGTGGCCGTCCTTTGGAATTCCTCCCCCTTTAAATAGCCACTTCGTCTCTCTTTCCATCCTCTTCTCCAGTCTTTCCTTTCAACCTCAACTCGAGCTTCTCCGGCCACTCTGCATTTCCTCCGATCTCTCATCCAACTTAGGTAATGTCTTCTTCTTCGCACTCTTCTTCTTCCCGTCGTTACTCGGTCGACAACCCGGCGGCGACTTCCCCCTCTTCTTCTTCTCCTTCTTCGTCTTCTTCTTCTCCTCCCCGTCGTATGGAATTTCCGGCAGACATTCCATCGACGTCTTCTCTTCCTCCGACCCCTTCTTCTTCGGGGGTGGTTACTCCGATGAGCCCCGCTCCTTTAACGACGGTGGCGGCTCTGCCGGGCGGCACCGGACGGCCGCGGGGCAAGTTCGATTCAATCGTCCGTCCTTCCGGGCCACCGTCCGTCGCTACTGCGGCGGACCTGAAAATGGCCCAATATCTTCTTGGGCCTTCAGCCATAGTCCTCGCCCCAGAAGGCCGGCAAATTTACGACCCACCCGAGGGTTATGTCGGCATCCATTTGCACTCGGTTGCCTTTGGCTTCCGAGTTCCTCCGTGTCGTTTCCTTTCCCTTTTTTATCGCCATTACAACATAGTTCCGGGCCAATTAGTGCCCAATTCTCACCGACTCCTCACCTGCTTCGTCAACCTCTGCCACTGGTGGTTGTGCGAGCCGGATCTAGACCTGTTCTGGTATCTTTTTACCGTGAACAAGGTCGGCTCACACTCGCTGGGCTTTGTTCAAGTTGCCGCTCGCCCGGGGCGACAGCTTTTCGAGGGGTTGTCCGACTCCATTAAAGATTGGAAGCTCCTCTATTTCTTTGTCCGACCTGCTTTCTCTTCCTTCACCTTTTCGACCCTGTGGCCGGCCACTCTATTCAAGCCTTGCTCTCGGCGTGCCGTCCCTACCAACGATGCGGTCCACGGCGGCGAGTTCTTGAAGGGCTTTGGGCCGTACTCCGTCAAGTACTGGTTCCGAGTTCGGGCCATGGCTAAGCGTGGCTTGCTGCCGGAGGGTGCGGCCACCGTAGGTAGTTTTCACTGCCTCTCGTTCTTCTTCTTTTTATTCTGTCTCCTTCAGACTCGGAATACTTATAACTTTCCTTTCTTTCGCAGGTCCGTACGACTCCGATTCCTCCAGTTCCGACGAGGCTGCCGAACCGACTCCAGAGATGACGGACAGAGCTGAAAAGATGAGGCGTCGGCTGACCCAGCGCGCTTCCGGCACTGCTGCTGCCTCTTCCTCCCAACCGTCGCCGGCTCCAAGGTTGACTCCTCCACTACCACATAACGTGGTCGACCTGACGCCGTCGCCCGTCGTGTCGCCGACTCGACAACCGCCTCCTCCTCAATCTGAGAGTCCGAGCTCAAAACGGCCGGCCGAGCAGACGGACATGCCGGCTCCGAAGAAGATCCGGTTGAGCCACGAGGTGGACGAGGATGCCCAGATCTGGCAAGGCAACTCCTCCGTCCGCAAGTGGGCCTCGAACGTCCTTCTCCCCAAGGACGTGGCGGTGACTGGTGGCCTGGGGGACGAGGTCATCATTGAGGCCTCGCTACGCCAATCATACCGCGTAAGTGTTTCCGACTCGGCTCTTTTTCTATTCTTTTTTCTTTCACTATCTGACTTCTGGTTTGCCTTGCAGAACCTCACCTTCCAAATGGAGATGAGTAGGCGACTGAGGGAGTACAAGACCGGGCTGAAGTCTATGGTTGTCCGAGTGCACCAAACGGAGGAGGCCTTCTTGGAGGAGCAAGCTAAGCACGCCAAGGCGGTGTAGGTGCATAACTCCGAGATGCTGAGGGTCACTCGTCAGTGGGAGGAGGAGCGGGACAAGGTGGCGACCATTGCCGCGACCTCGGTGGAAGACTACAAGAAGTCGGCGTCCTTCGAGGCAGACGTGAAGGCGGCGATAAAGGCCCGGCAGAAGGAGATCGCCAAGGCGTGGCTGGCGACGCCGGAAGGTGGCGACTTCCTTCTGGATTTGGGCGAGCGCGACTATCGCCTCGGCTTCCGCGAGGCGCAGACAGAAATCCACTCCGCCCTGCTGGTCCGCGACTCCTCTTTTACCCCCGAGAGCTGGGGCCTTAAGCCGGTTATAGACGCTCTCCCGGCGGCGGCTGTTGATCCGGCGGCTCTCCCTGCGGCGGCTCCTCCCAATCTTACCGAGTCCTCCCCTCAGGCAGAGGACCCTTCTTCTGTTCCTCCAGCTGGACCAACGGCGGGGGCACAAGTTGAAGGGGTCGATGTCGACACCCCCTCCCCAGTAGTTTAGGGCTATTCTTTTAGGATAGTCCCTTTTGTAAAGGCGGGCCTCCTTCTCGGGCCTTTTTTAATTTTAATGAAATTCCCATTTTCTCTTTCTTTCCGTGTTATCTTGGACTCGACGCTTTTTCTTTAACCTTTAATGGTTCTGCAAATCGAAGAAATATTCTTAAGGCATCAGGCCCTGCTAACCCTGAGGGACGACTTAGGATCGAGGCCTTGTTAACTCTTCGGGTGCTCGCCAAATCCCGCAGTCGAGGCGACTCCTTTTAGTCTCTCACGGAAACGACTAAGGGTCTGGGCCCTTGTTTCCTAACTTTCTCTCGCCGAGTCCCTCAGTCGAGGCGACTCCTTAGGCTTTTTCTTTCTCAGAAACATTTAGGGTCAGTGCCCCATAGTTTCTTTATATACTCGCCGAGTCCCTCAGTCGAGGCGACCCCTTAGGCTTTTTCTTTCTCAAAAACGTTTAGGGTCAGTGCCCCATAGTTTCTTTATATACTCGCCGAGTCCCTCAGTCGAGGCAACTCCTCTTGGCTTTTTCACGGAAACGACTAAGGGTCTGGGCCCTTGTTTCCTAACTTTCTCTCGCCGAGTCCCTCAGTCGAGGTGACCCCTTAGGCTTTTTCTTTCTCAGAAACGTTTAGGGTCAGTACCCCATAGTTTCTTTATATACTCGCCGAGTCCCTCAGTCGAGGCGACTCCTCTTGGCTTTTTCACGAAAACGACTAAGGGTCTGGGCCCTTGTTTCCTAAAGTTCTGTTCGCTAACACCCCTATGCATGTTCAATGACCTATTTAATGTATGTTTAAGGAGGATTATATTTATTTATGTAGTTATTTATTTTGTTTGCTAGATAAACTTTCAAGTTAACCACCCGTTATCCTTCAACTTTCAAATTTTTAATTAGCCGTAGTCCTTCAACTTTTAAATTTTAACCAGTCGTGATCCTTCTAAAAGGACGACTTTGCCCTTACTTTATTTCTAAAAGGACTACAACCTATTCAAATTTAAAAGTTGAAAGACTGTGAGTGATTAACTTGAAAGTTTAAGTCACTCAAAAAAAAAAAAAAAAACTTGAAAGTTTAAGACTAAACATGGCAAAACAAGTTTAAAACTAAACGTGACAAAACAACCGCACTCAAAGAACTAATGCAATTATAAAAAGCTAGCATAAACATTATGAAGGTGTCCAATATGTACATCAACTTCCTACTCGTGTTACATTAAGTATTTACTCCCCAAATACTTATAACCAAAACATAGCTGTAAGCTATGCATCCAAAACCCAAAAGCAATGCCTCTGATCCCATCTCACACAACCATCCACTATGAAGATCCTCAAGAAAATGGAAGGCTCATAATTTTTTTTGGTGAGGCGCAATTTGATTTTACCCATCCGATTCGCTGCTTCACATTGTCGTATGCAAATAGCTGACCCCGCAATGTAATATCTGCATTTCCAAAACATTTATACACCAATGAAGATATAGACCGGATTCAACCGTAACCGGTAAAGGTGAATTACATCAATGCATAAGATGTCTAAATTCCATCGCGTTTGAGTGAAATGAGCGAGTTCAATTACTTTTTCACTCTATGGACAAAACATGGACTGGGGCGAGAGAATTGAGAATGAGCTTATATGTTAAACAACTAAGAGTAAAATTACCTCCGAGTATAAAGGTAAATCCGTGATCTATTTTACTTCCATCGAGTATACCCAAGCACACGTTACCCTTTTTCTGCGGTACAACGAGCAACAGTCAGCAGATAGGACAAGCAAAAACAACGACAACCAAGGAAACAGAGTAAAGGCAAAAGAAAACCCACACTTATAACCAAGTAGCCTTCTGGAGGAATCTGAAGTATTTTCGACACTATCCACCACTTGCTTCCAAATTGAAGGTTTAACGGTTTGAAAAACCGACTTACATCTGATACAGACCTGCAAGAACACAAAATGAAACAGATGTAAAAAACGACACCCATTTCATGTCCCATTACTATTTATCAACTAGAAGTCATATTTTCTTTACAAACAACCTACTCCCTCTGTCCAATTTTATGTGTCTGGTTCGGTTAACGAGACTTGACTGAGGTTATTTTTAATTCAATTTTTCATAATGTTAGGTTTAGTATTAGTATATACAAAGAAACTACATTAAAAGTACTATTAAAAAAAAAATCAAATTTAAAAACACTAAAGAAAATAAGCAAAGAAGTAAGATTTGGTTTGACCAATGACTAGTAAACATGACAGGTAAAATGGGACAGAAGGAGTAATATATATTTGCAGCAACTCCTATGTGAAATTGCTTTCACGCTCTCAGCTTTGCCAATTATTTTCCATTTGCTACTAACATAATACCTTATTGCAAATTCAGCTTTCCAGCAAATGGGCAATGTTGTATCTGATGGATCCCGGACAAGGTCTTTACTAGAAACATCATTAAGCTGCAACAAAGGCGTAGAATTTAATTTACCTGTTAAAACTGTTAAAAGAAATTCATAAACTTCAGCCCGAAACTATAGGTATACTGCTTACAATAGAAACTAGATCCTTGTATGCTCTCCCGGTGAAGTATGTATAAGAACTACCACTATCAAAAATTACAATTCCCTGCCCTCCACTCGGATTGTCCAAGGATAGATCCTTTCCTCCATAACGCATTTTGAGTACTTCTGTTTGATAAAGATTCCTGAACATGACAAAGTATTAGAATACTAGCATCTGAAAATAATTCAGCCCGTACAAATATTTTTACTCGTACATCTTCCTCTTAGGACACTATGATATATTAGATATTAGCACAACCATAATGGATCTGCTTCTCAACATTCTAAGCATATTACCTTGTGCATTAGATTAGACACATGGATAAAGTAAAGATAAATTTAGCTTAATGTTTTTCATCCAGCCTAGAGCTCCAGTTGAAATTTTGTTTTATTAGCATTTTACGTAATAATATGAAGCCAATAAAAGAACAAAGGAGAGAAGGGAAGATTGTTGGGTGGGCGTTGGCTAGGTTGGCCAAGTTCATCCCCTGCTCAATCAGGACGTGGTGTTGTGGCTTACCATAAAAAGATGTAGTTAAATGGTTAATGTCCACCACTCCACCTACTTATCACCAATTGGTTTTAAGAAGGATATGATAACCAGATAACCAAAGAACTCCGTGGTTAAGTGTGCTTGACTTATATAGGATGGGTGACTTACTGGGAAGTAAGCATAGTGCAGCGCTGAGATCCAATAAAGGGAAGGCAATATTACGCTTGCTAGAAAAATGAATGTGCATCAATTAAACCAAGATCCAAGGTATTGGAGTGTGCGAGATAACTGCTTCTATACTTACTCATAAGGGCCATCAAGCATAGGTACCCATGCCATCTTCCCATCTGGGACATAGTCATTGCCAAAGAACATGTAGCCTCCACCAGCTGCATCACTAGAAAGGCAATGTCCTACAACGTTTTCTATAAGCCCTTGGCTTGCCAATTGTGAAGGCAAGCTAATTTTGGCTCTGCTAAGTCCTAGGATTCCATCTGTCTTTGCCAATGTGTCTAGAAGAGAGCCTTGCTGATCATATCCACATCTGGGAATAAAACAGCATTACATTACTGTCCATATGAGGAAGAATATTAGACCAGAAACCATAGGGGTAGACTTTGAGGTAAAATTTACCCGAAAATGATGGTTGATGTGCACAATGTTCCATTGGCAACCATTAGTCGAGTTTCATCCCTCAGAAGAACCCCCAATGAAGAGCTACGATCTGCATATTCTACTTCATAATCGCATTGATGACAAGTTTCGCAATAGATGTTTTCTTGATCTTTCTTAACTTCAAAACAATACGAGTCCTCCGGCTGTATGATGTTGCCTTCTGCAGGCTTGTAGTAAGGATGAGCTCCCTACATGAACATTCCTATTATGTCAGAATATCCAAGAGATTATAATCTAAGAAACAACTGAGTGAACACAAAGTGAGCTAGGGTCACTCAATTGGGCTATAATGGACATGGGCCAAACCACACTAAAAGACTGAATCCAATCAGTTAGCTAGTTTAACCCATCACCTTATAAACTCATATGTTCTCTCTTATTTTTTCAATGGGGACTCTTAACAAAACAAATTGTACGATTGTAGAAGTGAGGTTGAGAATTCCATCCATTTAAAAGTGTATGAAGCAGCTAAATGTTATATTGTGTTACTATTTCAAAATCAAAAGAGAGGAACAACTGTGCCAACAATTATTGTCTGCTCGCTCTCATTCAACAGTCTAATAAGTGGATGCAGCTTGGTTGGAAAGTTAGCAACACGAGAATCGGAGTAGCAGCAAGAAGAAAAGTAGAAAGGACAAAAATATCACCTTGGCGCAGCTAGTGCATGGAGCATCGCACTGAATCCATGTCAAATCACTCCCGGTATCCACGTCAAGAAAGTAGGGCTTAGGAGGATTCCCTATGAGCGCATAAGTGTAATATAACCTGTATGGGAAATGGAACAGCACTAAAGTCAGAGCAAATGAGGTTTTTCTCGACACTAAGTCATTGACTCAATCCTAGATACATCATCCTGAACTGCCAATAAAAGTATTGTCCTGAGAAAGAAATTTAAGTATGAATCCTCATATCTCACTCACTCAATCCTCATTTCAGAAAGACTATAAAAGGTTGAAGGTTCTAAACTATTCTACTAAAACATGATTAAGGCTTAAGGGTCTATCAATATTCTCAAATAATTGAACTAAGCACTCACAGAAACAAACTGCAACAAGAATCAAATATGGATAATAATACCTAGTGAATTGACTAAAGCAAAGATGATCAAATATACCCATCAGGATAAATGTTGCCCTTGAGGGGAAAACTAGTTGAGTTGAGCTTTGCAACTGCGGCCACAGAATTCCTAATCTTTCCATGAACTCCAGCAGTACTCTCCACTGTTTCCATCACAAGATCAGATTGAAGCTTCTTAAACCTGCCCAATTTAACCTCCAAATCGGAATTTCCGTGAAGACCCGTTTTGGGGTGCAAGGGCAAGAGGAACGTGGTATTGGCTCTGCGATCATCGTCAGAAGAATCAGCCAATTCCCACACGATTTCTTGGGTAAGCGAGAACCAGGCGAACAAGGCAACTAGAGAGATACCCAGAACTGAAAGAAGCCCCATCGGGCGACCAAAGACCCTCCTTTGGCGCTGGAAGTGGGAGACAGAGACTTGAGGGGTTTGGTTCTGTTGCGGCGGCGGTGGCGGCGGCGGCTGCCATACTGGGTCGTTTCGGAGTTCTGTGGGTGGTGAAAAGTCGTCGGAGATTGTATAGGCAGTAATTGTTTTGCCTAGACATGGGTTACCCGGCGGTGGCAGTGTTATTATCACAACTCCGGTCAGCTGCTGCGGCGGCGGCGAGCCCTCCGTCTCCGTCATCTCCCTCCTCTCTCTCTCTCTCTCTCTCTCTCTCTCTCTCTCTTAAATCTTTCCCTGTTTGGTATCTTCAGGGGATGACTGGAGATCAGAGACACTGAGAAATACTGAATAAATTATTGACCGAACGCGGACGAAGTCAGAGAAACTATATCTGAGTTCATACATCAGTCTTCAGAACGAAGCTTCCAGGAACACCTGTGGGCAGGGCCCCACTATGAATCTGAACACAAAACAAAAACCCAATCACCTTTAAGATTGGAAATGATTCTAATTATATCAATTATAGAAACATATGTCAGAGTTATAGTAACATAAACATAAGAATAGATTCTCAAATTCTACTCTTTACTTTGAGACAGAGTTATAGTAAGTTTCTTGTTTGATGTTGAATTACTTTGAATGTTCTTTCTATCACAAATCAGAATTTTCAAATCATAAATATTAAATATAACTTTCTTGTCCATAATCCCTTTCATCTCAGGTACAAGATCATTTCTATTAACCTTCATGATAAATGGAATTTAAATAATTAACTTCATAATTTTATAAATGTATTTCAAAACATTAATACAACCATGTCAATCTTTTTTATTAAACACCATTGAAATTAATGAAGGAATTGTGAAAATTGAACTAGAAATAACTCTTGTCAATGCACATAAAATTGAACGGGTGAAGTAATAATAATAACAAGAGTTAATTTAATTTTTTGTCCTAAATTTATAGATGAGAGTCCACTTTTAGTCTTTTTTTATCAGAGCATTTCATTTTGATTCTAATATTATTGTGACATGACCATTTTTGGTCCTTTAGTAACAAAATCGTTAAAATGTCATTAAATACAAATACATTTTGATCTTTTCAATAAAAAGTGTGTTTGACCCGTTATATCTTTTATGCTTATCTTTTTGAAAAAAGAAATCATAATTGAAGACTGAAATGCCCTTGTATTTAACGGTATTTAAACTATTTTGTTTATACATGTCCTAATAATACTAGGACAAAAAGTTGATGTTTTGAAAAAAAAAAAGACTAAATATGAATTGCCACATATAAATCTAGGACCAAAAATGAAATTAACTCATAATAATAATAATAACAATAATGGAAGAAATGGTTCTTTATAACTAAGAATTAAATATAGAAAATAGAAAATATATATTTTTTATATTTTTAATTAATATTAAGCTCAAATAATTTTTTTTAAAATCACTACAAAATATGGATTACTAACACAGCATTAATTTAAAAAAAAATTATATATTTTTTAATTGACGTATGAGTGGGTTGACTCCACTATAAATTATACATAATTAGTTTTTTAAAAGTTCTTTAAAAAAATTAGTTTTTTAAAAGTTATTTTGATTTGCATCGATAATTTTTCAACAATTAGTTTAACTGGTTCCATTATATAAGTCAAATCATTTATCTATTTTTGAATCGGGTGAAAATATTAGCCATCAAATGTAAATAATAGTTTCTATATCTAACTTCAAATAAATATTAATTTGTTGTAATTTTATATTTTACAATATAGAGTTTTTTTTTTGGAAATACAATATAGTTTTTAAATGTTAAAAAGTGACGGTTAATAAAATAAAATAAATAAAAGTTAGCTGTCCACGTCAATTGGAGCAAGAAAACAGTATGGCTTTTCCACTCTAACTACTCCCCTTGTAGTTGTAAATTGTCTATAAAATAAATAAATAAAGGATATTGCTAGTAATATCAATTTTTTAACCAATTTTCTTATTATATGATATAGTAATATTATTTTTATTAATTGGTTATTATGAATTGGCCAACCCACTCTACATTAATAAAAATTATTTATTAAACAAATATAAATAAATTGTCAAATTATTGAAATTTTGGTCCCTGTAATATAATTTAAAAATAAAAAGGGTTAGTTGTTTTGGGAAATTGTACCCATTGTTCCAAATTAGATCCTTATGAATTGAGTTGAAATTTGCACAACAATATAATTGGAATTGTTCAACTTCTTCATTTCTTATGTGATACAAGTGTATCCATACTAATACTCATCACATCAAGTTGAGCTATGAAATAGACGACATCAGAATAAAATTGTGATTAATTTATTTTAAGCATTCTTAATTGATGGAGGAAATTGACTTTAAGATAAGTATAAAAGGAAATACTTAATGTAAAACACAAAGAAATTTGTTATATTGGGTAATATTGCTTTGAAAGTACAATGATAAGTGTATGAATAAGATAAAAGGTGTCCTTACAAGGTAAATACCGGCCCATATATACATGGATGAGTTTTAATGATTTCGTTAACGCTTAGCATGACTTAAACGTTTCATGAGTGAAGATGGTACTCATAAGAGTTGTAACTGTTATCAATTGACTCCATTTATCTTATCGCATGTGTCGACCTGAGCCAGTGTCATTGGATTGACCCGACCCTCAGAGGTTGACCCCAAGGTCAGCATTTTTGCTTTGTGCTATAGTTTATTGGGCCTAAAAGTCTTAAGTTTGATCCAATATATCCATCACCAACCTCCACCCCCCAAGTTGCGAGACTTTGACAGTGAGAGCGAGGGAGTAGCTACGCTAATTTGAACGACAACCACGCCCCGAGTAAGATTCGGTTGGCACAATGTGAAGAGAATAAATTTTTTCCTCTTATCAACATCACCCTTATTTGCTCCGGTTGGCAGTTGGTGATGTCGCAAATCTTGGTCGACCGTCGGTGTTGTCATTGGTTTTGTTAACCGGTGCGCCATCCCCACTCAAGTCCATGACTGCCTCTTCGAGCACCAATGATGGCCTCCTAATACTTCTAGATGGGGCCCTGACCTCATCTCCACCACCACCCTGGAACAAATCATCATTAATAAATATGAGATATTCTTGGTTGACCTCGCGAAGTTGAAGGGCGGTGAAAGATGTGACAAGCCCCCTATAGCCGAATCGGGCAATGAGGAATGAGTTTTAGATTGCTAGATCTTTTGCTTTGTTTTAATTTCCTACTACGTGCAAAACAATGTAATTTGGTTAACCCAATGAAGTATTGGCATTTGCATTCTCTTGAATTTGAAATTAGTTTGCTTGAATTTTTATTTGTTTTTTGGTATTCCCTAGACTCCAAAAGTCATGATTACCGACTTTCTCTAAGCAAAAGGCTAACTCCGAGATTCCATGCAACGCTCGACTTCTGCGCATCATGCAACTCTCAACCTCAACCCCGCCCGACCCCAAAATTCTTTTAAGCTATCAAGATCAATATGTCACTTGGCAATGACCCACCTCACTAAGATATGCAATTGTCAACCTTAGTGTACTATGTAATGGCCAACTTCAACTCCGATTGGTGCATCATGCAACAACTGACCTTAACCCTTGGCAACCCTGCATCATCATAAGCGCAATGGAAACGAGCAATCATAATGTACAACGATTGACCTAAATGTGTCATAACCTTGGTTGAATCCAGAGGTCGGACCTTAGCATATCATGCAATGGTTGAACCCAAGATGCCATGCGACGGTCAACCTCAATGCATCATGCAACACCTTACCTCAACATCGGGCCATCATAGATGTGATATTCGCTCTTTAGGTTAGTTCGCCTTTGAGTTGCGATACTTAGATAGCGAGAAGGAGTAATTTTGTCAATTTACACTACAATCATAACCCAAGTCAAACTAGGTCAAATATGAACAAAATATTTGGGAATTAATTTTCCATTTTCCACGATGGCATCCTCCCTAACTTCAGTTAGCCACTATTACCTTTGATGACCCTAGTCGATCATTGACTCCACCCCCTCCCTAATCTTCAAAATGATGTGAGTTTCCCATATGTCACTTCCCCTTGGAACTCTCCATAAATTATGATTGATGACCCCCATGAGCAAAAGCCGACCCCAAAATTCACTTAATCACATTTTGTGATGATCAATTTTAATTTAAAATACCATGCAATAACATACCCCCTAAGCAACGGCTGACCCCAAAATTCCTTCCATCATTTTATGATAACCAACTTCAAATTATTGACATTTAGCTCATCGTAGGCTCGATAGTAACGAACGACCTCGGTGTACGACAACTAGCCTTAATGTGTCACAAAGAGGTCGAACCCTAACATATCGTGCGGGGATACTCTTCAACTTCGGCCGACCTCAACCTCGATCAAAACTGCATCACTGTAGGCAATGAACAACACACCACGCGATAGTTGACCCCACATCATCGTAGGCAATGAACAACATGATACGTGATGGCCAACCTTGCAGCATTGCAAGCGCATACAAACTCTGAGTAACCTTAACTTCGGCCAACCCTGCAACATTGTAGGTAATTAATATTATACCACATGATAGTTGAACCCTACTATAACCAACTCTGCAACATCATATGCGCCTACTCACACATTGGGTTGTTTTTTACCGAGCTCATCTTGGTGCAGGTGCAATTGCCGACCTCACTTTGTATTTGAACTCGGTTAAGGTAACCACATGCTTGGACTCAAGCAGGTGCTTGGTTTCATGTTTCTTCCTTCAAACTCATCCAAGGCACACCACCATTGCCTATTAACCAACTCGACTAGTCCCTATTATACAATATCTAATGGTATCCGCATTTACCGTGAACTCAGTTTAGAACTTTGGACATGGGTGGTAGGCGGGGTCACACCTCGTACCACCATTGGGAAAATACTTGGTCACTTTTGACTAAGGCATTGGCCTTGCCTAAAAAGACTCCCATTTGGTGTTAGTTGAGGTTGAACCTCATGTCAAAAGAACTCTTTCGTTCGACAAAAGGCAATAAAAGACTTCATAACGCCTCTAGGGAACTTACTTAAGCCAAGAATGAGCTCTTCTTTTTTACGTTAGATGCAGTCGAACACCGTAACACCCTTAGGGAATACTTTCCTGTTTGGCTCTAGGCGAGGTTAGACATCATAATGCTTGTGACACCCCGTAAATCCAAATTCTATTTAAGGATTAATTAAGAAATTAATCCTAACTTAATTGATAGTTTATTCCCAAAAATCTTGAAAATTCAATAGTCGGGGACTAGAAATTGACTAGTCAACCCAAGTCAAGGAGTTGTACTCTAAGCTTAAAGAATTGTTCCCTTGTATCCTTACACTTTTCCACTTTAGTAAGGGTAAAGAGGACTTT